GTGTGTGTGTGTGTGTGTGTGTGTGTGTGTGTGTGTGTGTGTGTGTATGTGCGTGTGTGTTCAGGGCCTGAAAAAATAGTTCAGTACTCAAAAGTACCAGCTTTGTAATCATGAGAACTGGAATTCAGATCCCAAGACAACTATTTCTGAAAATGCTATGATACTAGCTACAGGTGGAGAGGAGGATCACTGTGGCTTGTTGAATTCTAGCCTATCCCACCAAGTCACAGAAACACTCTCCCACGCAAAGAGAAGATTCTCCCTTTATTCATTTGTAGGGATGAATAGGGAGCTAACGGGAGCAGAAGGAAAAAGAGCATGGATGGGATAGGGATTTACAATATGTAGAACACTTTATATATATAAAGTGTAAAGTTGTCAAAAAACAAACTCAATAAAGTTTTTTTTTTTTAAAGGAATAGACCGAAGATGATAGAGGACAGCCAGCACCATGTTCTGGCTTCCAAGAACATGTACAAATATGTAATTGCATGTATCTTACAGATACATAAATATATATGTACATAAACACACACACACACATATATATATAATAATAACCAATTACTTAATTAAAATCCAGACAATCCTATGAGTTTCAGAGAAAATACATAAAGACCAGATGAGAATTTTTAGGAAAGGCTTCGGATAGGAGATGAGAGAAGAATTACGACGCTTACTGCCATGAATCATTTGCAAAGCATGTGAAAATGCGGACAGCTTGTACAGTTCTCTGTGAAGTCCATCCGCTGCATCAACCATTATCGGAAATTAGCCAGCAACCTCTCATCTTTAGCTGGGTGGAAAGGCCGGTTCTGAGGCTTGTCCTCATTTGCTCCTTCCACACCTCATTTAATGAGCATTAATTGTTCTGTTTTTGTTTTTCTTTGGGGGAAGGTAGCCTGGTGTGAAACAGTAAAGAAAAGATTTTAAGATAAAGTGCTTGGATTCTAAAGCTGCCAAGCTGCTTGTCTGGCCTGTAACTAAATTAAAACAAGCATTTTGGGCTTTTTGGCAATTAAAACAAGCATCTATAGATGCTTCCTTAGTAAACCAAAAGTAAATACATCTTCCCAGCTACTTCTGTCATAGGATTAAGCATCATGTAAGATTGATCTTTGTGCTCTAAATATTTCACAAATATTAATCTTTTTTTTGAGACAGGGTCTCACGGTGGAGCACTGGCTAGCCTGGAATTCACTGTGTAGACTGGGTTGGCCTCAAAATCACAGACTTTTGCCTGTCTCCTAAGTTCATGTTTTTTACTGCAAAAATGCATACTTCATAATAAATATGGAAGATTTTTACTTCTGACCAAAGAGATGACCTCCAGAAATAGTATGGTATATGTGATGTAGACTTCTTGGCAATTGATACTTGGTCAAACTATGTAAATGTTATTTAGAACGTGTGGTGGGAGAGGAGATCCTCAAGTAGTATACATAGTTTAAGAGATATTGACAGTTGATGGCTTCTGGGAGAAGGAATCACTTTTAGGGGGTGAAGGTCACTGGTAGATTGTCCATCCTCAAGTGCATGACCCCACACACATGTACATATGGGCAACATTATCATTGGACCCACTAGGTTATTTTTTTAAGAAACACCATTTGGAAGGAGATATGTGGGGAAGGGACTCCAGGAGCACTGGAGGGAGAGTTTGAGAGAGTGGGTATAATCAAGATACAGTATATACCTGTATACAATTAAAAAAAATAAAAAGATGGTGATTAATTTTGACTATTAATTTGACTGGATTTAGAATCACCCAGAAAACACATATCTCTATATGTGTCTATTTGGGTGTTCCCAGAAAGGTTTTACTGAGAAAGAAAGGCCTGTCCTGGATGTTGGTGACACCATACAATAGTGGAAGACCCATGAATGAAACTGGGGAAGGGAGACAAATAAACAGAACCCTATATGATGTCTCTCTCTCTCTCTCTCTGCTTCCTGACTATGGACATGACACAACAGGCTATATCACATTCCCTACCATGTCTTCCTTACCTAGACGGACAGCATCCTTTCAAACTGAGAACACAAAATAAACTCTATCTTCCTTACATTGTTTTTTTTCTGATAATTTTTTTCATTGTTTTGTTTATTTAATCACTTTACAACCTCCTCCTTCCTCTCCTCCCAGCCCGACCCTCTCGTTCCTCCCCTCCATTCTCCTTAAAGAAGGAGAGGCCACCCATGGGTAGTAACCCACCCTGGCACATCAAGTCACAGTAGGACTAAGCACATCCTCTCCCACTGAGGCCAAAAGGCAGCTATGGGAAAGAAATCCAAAGGTAATCAACAAAATCAGAGATAGTCCCCACTCCAATTGTTATGGGATCCTCATGATGACCAAGATGCTCATCTGCTACATATGTGTAAAGGGCCTAGGTCCAGCCTACACTTGTTCTTTCGTCGGTAATTCAGTCTCTGTGAGCCCCATGGGCCCAAGTTACTCTGTAGGTCTTTTGGGGTGTCCTTGACCCCTCTGGCTCAATATCCTTCTTCCCACTTTTACACAAGACTCCCAGATCTCCACCAACTGTTTGGCTGTGGGTCTTTTCATCTGTTTCAATCCTCTGCTGGATGAAGCCTCTCAGAAGACAGTCATGCCAGGCTCCTGTCTGCAAGCATAGCAGAGTATCATTGGGTTTCAAGTTGGGCTAATCATTGGTTATGATTGCTTTGGCAGCACATATACTAAAATTAGAATTATACAAAGAGGATTTGCATGGCCCCTTTGCAAGAATGACAGGCAAATTTGTGAAGCATTCCATATTTTTAAGAGTATAGAAGCACACACACACACACTACAACATTAAAGTAACAGGAATTAACAGTCATTGGTCATTAATATCTCTCAACATCAATGGACTCAATTCTTCGATAACAATAAACAGGCTTATAGACTGGGTGCAACAACAGAATCCATCATTCTGCTGCATGCAAGAAACAAAACTCAACAACAAAGATAGACACCACCACTGAGTAAAGGGCTGGGAAAGTATTTTCTGAGCAAATGGACTGAAGAAGCAAGGTGAAGTAATCATTTTAATATTTAATCAAATAGACTTTCAACTAAAAGTAATCAAAGAGATGGGGATGAATAATTCATATTCATCAAAGGAAAAATCTACTAAGATGACATCTCAGTTCTGAATATCTATGCCCCAAATGCAAGATCACCCATATTTGTTAAAGAAATAGTACTAAAGCTTAAACCACACATAAAACTCCACACATTAATAGTGAAAGATGTCAACAGCCCACTCTCACCAATAGACAGGCCATCAAAACAGAAACTAAACAGAGACATAATGAAACTAGCTGATGTTATAAATAAAATGGACCTAACAGATGTCTACAGAACATTCTACCCTACCACAAATAATATACCTTCTCCTCAGAGTCTTCTCCAAAATTGACCATACAGTCCATCACAAAGCAAGACTCAACAGATACAAGAAAATTGAAAAATATTCTCTGGTAATTTATCACAGCAATGAAATATGTAATTAACAGAGATAGGTGGTGATTTGAGAGATTAATTAAACAGCTGAAAAGCCATCATGAGATTTAGGAAAAGAGAAACTGATTCAGTTAAAAGGAATCAGAAGATTTCATGCATGTGTACTATTTGTTTTTCAAGTAGTAAAAGAGTATAAGAGAAAGAGAGATGGAGAAAAGCATTTTCCAAACTTTGTTATATTGGTACTGGAACATGGCTGATAAATTGCAGGAGCACAATTGAGATTTAATTTTAAGCCCAAAGTATTAGGATTTATACAGGAAGAAAAAACACTATAGTGTATTTGAATAACTAAAGTCGAATGCTAGAACCTTGAATAACTATGATTATTCTGTCAAAATTGTAAGACAGCTTGAGAGCAGAAATAAGTGGATCTCAGGGTGGAAAGCTGCCAATCCACACTGGCTACTAAAATACTCTTTTTAAAACTTTTTATGCATTACATAAGCTTTTATCAACTTCCTCTCATGCTCAAGACTAGACATACGTTAAATAACGTTTGTTGGCAAGTTGTCTTTTATGCCATATGATAATTCACAGTTGCATTTTTAAATAAAAACAACCATGCATATCTTACTTACTAAATACATTCTCCATTAAATGAAAGGTGTTCACTAGAGAAATGACTGACTCTGGGTAGAGCAGGGAAGGTCAGACCAGGTTGGAGCATCTTCCTATATAGTAGAGTGATCTGTGTAAAGAATGGTGGATCAGAAAGACACAAGGTCAGCTTTAAATGTCTCCTTTGACAAAATCTTAAAAGCTTAGACTATAAAAGTAATGATCACACAATGGTATAAGCCTGAATAAAACAGTAAGTTTATCCTAGAATATGTGAATATATAAATGAAGAATGAAAGTGCTTCCTTAAGAGTGTGGAGAGGCCAAAACTAAACCATAACGAATGTCCATAAGTTAATCACACTCGCCTATGTCATGTCAACTGATCTGGACAAAACTTGTAAGGAGCCACTAAAGCTATCAGATACAAGCTTGAGGGGGCAAAGGCTCTTTATTAACACAAACTCTTTTCCCATAACAGCTTCCTGTGTAAAAAGAAGACAGTACAATTCTTAGTCTGTGATAGACGAGAGATCAAGTTAACATGATGACTTATGGTGAAAAGTCAGCATCACGTTTGCTTCCTTGTGCACAGACCGATGTGCAATTCACACTGAAAAACATGTAGAAACCTGGACAGGGCGTGGTGGCACACTCCTTTAATTCCAGCACTCAGAGGAAGCCTGTGAGTTTGAGGCCAGCCTGGTCTACAAAGAGAGACCAGGACAGCCAGGGCTATCCTGGTGAACCGTGTCTCGAAAAACAAAACAAAACAAGAAAGACATAAACACCTGGGCTATAATCGCTGTCATTCTATCTCTAACTTTGGGTTTTGGTCTCTGCGTGCTGCATTATTGGGAACATTCTGCATTATTATTCAATTTATATCTTTACATGAGAAAAACTATGTCTGAGTCTTTTTAGGAAATCCTAAAATTATCTTTACCTGGCCACTATTTGGAAGTCTTCCTAATGCCCTGGATATCATTAAACACAGATAGGCACATAGCTAGATGAGGCATTTCTTCAGGAATCTTCTTGAGTTACCTGTCGCTGAAATAACTTGAATACATTGGTGCTGGGTAAACAAAGACAATTGACAAACCCTGACTGGCCAGGATAATAATTTACAGATTCAAGGCCTCTTTTTATTAAAGGCTTAGAGGTCTCTAAAAGTGTATTTTAAAAATAGGGGGTCATACAGGGTTCACTCCTGAAGGAATAAAACTCAGTAAACAAGATAGAATAAAATAAACTTTTCCTACTTTACCGCATAGATGATACAGTAAAACAAGTTAGGTATTAGTTTTTGTTGTTCATAAAAGGACCGGTTCAAATATTTTCTCTTTGCCTGGAATGTTCTCATACTACAAACATTGCCACACTAAAAGCAGGCTGTCAGATATTAAATGTGGTTGCTTTAGAGTATACATTCTCTAGTTTCTTTAAATTAGAGTTATAAGACTAATAATAATAATAACAATCTGTCCTGTTTGTATTTTCTAATTGTAACTGAACATGTAAGTCTGGACATATAATGAAAAATCAAGGACATAATCTGTACCACTTGGATAATCATTGGTCTGTCTTTGTTCTGTGAAACTTGTACAAATTTAGAAGCACCTGGTTCCAAGTCAATCGGAGCCACAGAATCAGTTGACTGCCAGAGAGACAGAGCTACAGAAGTGGCCTGCTTGCTAGACAGTCAACTGAGAGATTCCCCTCAGATCGTGCATGACTCACTCCCTCCACTTAGCAATCCCTTATCTCCTCTGCAGGCCACCCTGTCAGCAAACACCCTCCACTCTCCTCTCTGTGCTGGCGAATGATCCCCAGAAGGACCCTGACAACAGAGAAGGTGTATTCTTTCAGCAGCAATTTTCCACATACATCTATCGGGTGCTCAGGAGAAACAGAATAACAAAGAAAACTCTGCTCTACCCCAAGCCTCGTTCCTAGGATAGGCCAGAGTCTAGAGAGAAACTGTCCATGTGATATGAAAGGGAAAGTCTGCAGAAAGCAAACACTGGAACAAATGCTAAGAGAAAACCACCAGCAGTGTTAAATTGTACCTTAAGACATTGTATTGAACACTCAAAAGAAGAGCTGAAGATTATTGCACACTGAAGGCAATGCACATTTCCCAAACTGCTTGAGTCTGGGTCTCTTTTTCTAGTTTCAAGGATGTAAAGTTGATGCTTCTATACAAGCTCTTTCTCCTACAGTATTTAGTCCTATAAACTCACTATTTCATGCTGTATTCATTGCGGCACATTTGACTCCGTGAGTTATGTTTTCCTCTCAATATTATATCCATATATGTATATAAATGTATATGTGTAAACATAAATGTACGCATACATACATGTATATATGTATGAATATGTATACACATACAGGAATATATGTAGATAGACAGACAGAGAGATAGACAGACAGACAGACAGACAGATAGACAGATAGATAGATATGCATGCATGTGTGCGTGTAGGATTTCACATCGCCCAGGCTGGCCTCAAACTCACTACATAGCTGAGGATGACCCTGAACTCTCAATACTCTTACCGCCACCTCCCAAGTATTGGGATTAAAAGTATTCCATCATACCCAGGTTCAACATATTTTCTATTTTTGGTATTTCCTTTGAACAAAAGATTGCTCAAGATTCATTACTCAATGTTGTAACATCTGCCAATTTCTCATGTTTCGTTCTGTTTCTGTTTTCTGCTTTTCCTACATGGTGATTGCAAAAGCTATTTGGTATGCTTTCACTCTTAATTTTGAAAAAGGTTTATTTGTGTGTGTGTGTGTGTGTGTGTGTGTGTGTGTGTGTGTGTGTGTGT